GCCTGGTGCCAGGGACCTGAGAGGGTTTGCTGAGTGAGTGAGTGAATAATGAGTGAGTAAGTGAATGAGTGAATGAATGAGCGAGTAAGTGAATGAGGCAGCAGCTACAGGGCGGGAACTTCTGCCGCGTTGCTATGGCGACATGGCAGAAGTTCCCGGCCACCTGACGCCCACCCCGGGATCCCGCCCCGCCGCTCCCAGTGGCCCGGCGCCCCTCTCCTGGCTGCAGCATAGTTCCCGCCCTGCTCCCAGCAGTGGCCCAGCACCCCTCTCCTGGCTGCTTAGTTCCTGCTCCCAGCAGTGGCCCGGCACCCCTCTCCCAGCTGCTTAGTTCCAGCCCTGCTCCCGGCGACCCAGGCCCCCAGTCACTCCTTCAGCAGAGGCCAGGACAGGCGGGAAGCTTGGCTTCCTCCATTACGGGGGCAACCAAGCCTCCTGCTTGCTCCAGCTCCATGACTGCCGGCCGCCATCTTGGTTGGGTTAATTTGCATATAGTTGCTCTGATTGGCTGGAGGGCGTTGCTTGGGGCACAGCGAAGATACAGTCAATTTGTACGTTTGTCTTTTATTAGATAGGATTGTTACTTGTTGAAGAGACTGGATTACTTATCGTGTAGAATTTCTGGAATTCTACATTTGGCTGATAGCATCCCTGAGATGAACTTTAGTAAGTTCCTGTGTCCCTTCATGTAATATAATCTGGTAGATCAAGGGCCTTGAACAGGTTCAAAATTTGAAAAGCTGTGTACTTCCCATGGCATCATATCAGCTGCCATGTAAAAACCGGTTGTCTCTCTTTTTGTAATCCTATTTAAAAAAAGTCTAATATGCAAATAGAGCGACCAGTGGAACGACCAGTCACTATAACACGCACTGACCACTAGGGGGACAGACACTCAATGCAGGAGCTGTCCCCTGGTGGTCAGTATGCTCCCAGGGGGAGCGCCGCTCAGACAGAACCCAGGCTCATGGCTGGCGGTAAGGAGTGAGGGGTCCCAGCCTGCAAGAGGGTGCAGGCTGGGCTGAGGGACCCCACCCCCCAGTGCATGAAAGTCATGCACCGGGCCTCTAGTGTTACATATAATCAGTGGAATCAGGTGTTGCCAGCTGAATGCCTGTATTATGATATTCCCTATCTATGTTTTACCTGAGGATATTAGTAGCCAATGATGATCATTTTCTAATCATAGTAATTTAATTAATAATGGTTGCAAGCTTAGTTAGTCTAATTCTGCAATACATTTTCATTTATTAGTAGACTTCTATAATGAAATTCCTCTCAACAATAATTTCATTACTTTGAAATAGGGTTGTATGGGAAGAATAAGGTAAATACATGATTCTTTTCTTGAGCCAGTACAAAGAGTGATGACTTTATCCCCTAGCTCCCTCCCAGTATAGTTTTGCAATGGATTTTTTCAGTTTGCTTTGTATCCTTATGATTCTTGGCTTTTGAACATATTTGATGCTTTTTAAACATAGAAGTTTTTCTTCTAAAACTGTTCCATCTTTGACAAATGGCAGTCCCTTCAAATTTAATCCTGTTTCTTCTGACATGACCACAGTAATCTTTAATTCTCCTGCTTTCTGCCATAAGATGGTTCCAGATTTATCTCTTACATTTCCTGTCCTAGATATTGAATTAACCATTTCTTCAAAGAGCCTGGCTCCTACTAGAAAGGAGAAATATAAGTATAAAAACTGTTTAGGAAAGCAATTTATAAATAGGCATCCTGTTTGACCACTCTGTGATTTTTTCTACAGAAATACCTAACATCTAAGGAGGCGCTGTTCAATATTACTAAAGAATACAGTCAATAAGAACAAAAAGTTAGAAGAAGAAACCTTAATGACTATTAAAAGTGGAGTAATTAAATAAATTATAGGAAAACTATTCTATAGAATATATGGCTGATGTTAAAAGAATAAAGAAAGATTGATGTGTACTTTAACAGCAAGAACCAAGTAGAATCTCTAGGGCTGAAAAACACAATATCTGAAATGAAAAATTCACTAAATGGGGTTAAAAGCAGATTATATAATGCAGAAAAAATTACCAGTCAATTTAAAAATCTGCCATAAATAATGAACATATACCAAAAAATGAGGAATAGAGCATTAGTGAACTATGAGACATATCAAATAGTCAAACATGTAAGCAAAGTCCCAGAGGAGAAGAGAAAGAACAGAAAACATTAAAAGAAGAGAACTAGAGCCCTAACTGGTTTGGCTCAGTGGATAGAGTGTCAGCCTGCAGACTCAATGGTCCCAGGTTCGATTCTGGTCAAGGGCA